ATATATATATATATATATATATATATATATATATATATATATATATATATATATATATATATACATCGTTCCCAAGTGCGTCCATTGCGTTAAACAAAAGGGAAACAGTTTTTAGGATTTTGTGCATTTCTGTCAAATATCGAGTAATTAAATCCGAAGAGAAGTTTTGAGAACATTTGGGGACAAACTACATCGAAGAAACGCGTTTTACTCAATGGAACGAATATTGCAAGTTGTTACCAAACGGGTGTTATCAAACTCCTAGAAATTAGCGTCTACGAAAAAGTACTGCGTCTTGGGAATCCGTAAAAGTGCTATCCTAAATACACATGTTTTCTCTCTACTCTACAGTGATGCCAAAATTAACGTTCACAATAAATCAATGACCTGTCGAGATTTCAAATGTGCGCAGTGATCCGTATTCATTATGCATAAATGATCATACGCTAGTCTAAATTTGAACATGATCATCGTTCATCCAGTTAATTATTCGTCAAATATGGTATATAACATGGAAAACACTTTTTCAAACCTCATAAAGATCAGCAATCCAAAAAAGAAGTTCTCCTGGTTTTCCGAAATTTCCCATAGATTATGAAACTTTTAGAAGATAAAATACCAAGGACATTTGAAGGTACCTTTATGAATCCTTCTTCGCACTGTATTTGTAACAACAGGTGATGACAGATTAAATAATGTCATGGAAACAATTGCACGATCTTTTTTCACATCCTAGATAATGCAAATGGTAGATGACCTATGCGGTGATTAACCTAGTTCATTCAATGACATTTTGTGTGAACCAACAGATTCGATTGAGTGCGTTGACAAGATAAGTGAAGTGAACGGTAGTTGTATTAATAGGGTTCAACTTCAGGGATAATGATCATCAAAGTGCATTTGTTTTCAACACCGAACATCGTAACTTGAGGCAAAATTTTCGATGAACACCAAGAGAAAGGGCATATCATCGAGAAAAACAGGATTGCTCAATACTACAGGGTCGTTCATCTCAAAAATGCTTCCGTTTGATGTATTTTTGTATCGTACAATAGCGTCATTGACGGGTGGAATCAATGCGTAAAACATTTAACAGAGCTGTACTTGATAGATCCGATAGGGCTGGTGTCGTAATCGAGTCAACATTAAACGGAAACATGTGCATAGNTGTCAAGAGTAAACAACACCGAGGATCTGTGTCGGTGCTAGCAATGAGATCTGTGAGAAATAGTGAACACGGAAAAAGACAGGCTAAAAACAAGTAGTATATGTTCAGTCACTTATCCGCTAAGGTTCATTCCTCGAATTTAAACTTTACAGCAATGATAAACACCAGCATGTTTAATCCCAAACAGCCAAAAGAGGATCAACCAAAACACTCACATAGGTCTAATTTATCACCCGTTTTATGTACTAATGTAATCTTCGGGTCCGGGACATCCCCAAGCCCAGCCAACCCGGGAACTGAAGCCAAATCAACCGGCAACCGTGAAGAGAATAGATGTTCGATATCTGGAGCTGCATTATCCGAAGGTAACTTGGATGGCTCGAACTGAGAACTCCTATTCACTTCACCGGAACGAACTCGTAATAAGGATTCGAGCCAGATATGCAATAAAAGGTAAACGCCGATCGCATGTTGTGTGTGCTCCATTTGGGACTGTGGGAGACGTTTGGATCGCTCTATTTGTGTGTGATTATTTTGCGCCAGGTTAGAAATGGACGAAGATCGCGACGATGATGATGAGAACGACGTTGTGGATGGTGATTTCTCCAGAAGTACAGAAGCTGTTGTAGGCGGTATAAGAAGACTGGGATCCATGGCCAATTTTTTCAGTGACGTCGGAAGGCATCGCATGAGTCGCAGCTCATGTTCAAACAGATCCAAGAAAATGGCATCGTTCTGAAGAAAAAGAAAATAACGAAACGAGGGACGGCAGTTTGAGTAAGGTTTATTGAAAGAAAGAGTGCAAAATGCCATTCGGTTTGTGGTAAATTATTCAGAAGATTTTAAGGCTCTTGATAAGCAAACAC